GGGAGAGAGAGAGAGAGAGAGAGAGAGAGAGAGAGAGAGAGAGAGAGAGAGAGAGAGGAATCATATTTATATTTTTTAACTTCGAAATATTTACGGTTGTGCCATTACACTTCTGTTGATCGTAACTTTTTTGTTACAACTTCAATTTGAGCACACTACGCGTCTACGAACTCATATCGACGAGATCTACGTCATGTTGCCATTCAATTCCCCAAAATCCCACCAGATTAAAAAGTAACCAAAATGACCCTACCCTTGAGGGCAAAGTTGTAATTTCATAATTAAATAAATAAATTAATTTAAAAGCATAATTAAAATTGGGTCGGGATGTTACAAGTCATAAACACATAGAAGTTATTTTAAGTTTTTCTTATTAGCAGAAGTTTTTTTCAAAGGAAAAATCATTACTAAGGAAAGATTACAATAGAGCAGTTACATAAAGTAAGCTCAAAATACTTGGGTTAGAGAGATCTAGGCATAGTACACCTTTTTTTTTGTTTTGGTCATTTGTCAGGTAGAAGGAGGGGGAAGTATTATATTGGGTTGCCTAAAGATTGTCTCTTACATGAATTGAACTTGAGTAAGAATGTCCAAAGAAATACATGATCAAGTTCCTCCATTCAAGCAAGATGAGCCCAACAAATGCACCATAAAAAGGGAAAAAGCCAAACAAAACCATCAAAAGGCCACATTAGACATAAAGCCCATTCTAGATATAAGGTCAACCAAAGCCCACAACAAAAACTTGGTTTTTTGCAAACCCTAGTTCAAAGTCAATAGAGTTGTCCTACCATGAAGACTTGGACAACACTATCGTGGCGAAGGTTGAAGGGAGAACCTGCCACCACACAAAAACATAGGAACAAAAACAATACCCATAAATTTGCTAGAACCGAACTCGTTGTTGCACCAAAACGAACACAACAGCCAAGGGAAAACACCACCCCAAACTAATGGAGGAGTAAGTAGAAACAAGAAGGAGGTGGTGCATGCACCAAACCTAAAAGTCTACACATCTTTTTAGAGGTACGCAAGAAATCACGTTAAGGGTTGGTAGCTACATCCAAAGGGTAAGGCCAGATCGAATAGGGAGAGAGACATTCTGATTGAAGGATGGAGAACATGGGGTTTCAATAGAGAGAGGGGTGAAATAAGGACTTGTTAACAGAAAGACTGATGGTAGGTATGAAAATGGTAAGAAAATCAACTTATGAATGCAGCTGAGATGAAAAAAATTTGATCTATCGAACTCTAAAAGTTGATAAACTTTACCATAATAAAGTGAAAATTACCCTAAGTT